GCTGACGATGGATAGCACCCCCCTCGCTAGCTGATGATGGACACCACCCCCCCTCTAGCGAATGATGATGGATACCACCCCCCACTCTAGCTGGTGATGATGGACCGCCCCCCGTTCTTCTGTAACAGACGCACGAGCCTACTGCAGGTACTTTTGTGCAACCTCACAAAAAACTATTCCACCTCCAACTCTAGTACTTTTTTTGGGAATGGCGGGGGACTCGCGGGCGCGACAAGTTTTGACCACGAAAGGCTTTAGTTAGGGTCGGGCACAGCAGCAGCAGCAGTAGCATGATCTGCAAAGTAGGTGTCACCTTGGTACCCGCTATCAGGTTGTGACTGTAGTCATGGAAAACCCCACGTGATGACTTCGATGGAGTCCTGCCACGTTGGGGTGAGGGTTTGCAACACGACGTGTTGGTTTTCGCGCGCAGGGCGCGAGAAAGAACAGTTCTTCGCGTGCTTTCTTTTTTTGGCGCGGGAAAGACTCAACGGTCGTGCTCGGTGGATCCTTATCCTCGGAAGAGCTTTCCATGACTGCGGAACCAAGTCGTCGGTTCTGTCACGAATATGTTGCGTTTGGACAGCTTCACCCCCACTCAACCACATGTGCGTCGTCTATTCGAGTGCAGTATATCCCCTCCGCACAGTCTGTCCCTGTGTGTGTACATCTCCTTGCCGCACACCCCCTCCGAATGTCGCACCTGCTTGGCACAGCGCAATGTCGTCTCTCCCCTGACCAAATTCGTCCTTCTTTCTCCCATCGTTGGTTTTCTCGGAAGCAGGAGGGGGCGAAGACGATGTTGTTGTTCCCTCGAAGCTAGTCGTGGCACTCTCGCACCACTACCCGCCGTCGTGGTGGGCGTCAGAAGGAGGCGGAGGCGGCCTGGTCGGCATGTCCCTCCTGAAGGGGCGTGACCGAGCCGTCTGCAACCTCTTGCGCTTAGCGCGGCAGGCCCTGGCCACGGATCCGGCTGTGCCATCAACCGAAGGGGCCGACAAGGGAGAAACGGCAGGGGCGATGGAGGTGGGTACGGAGAAAGTGAAAGGGTTAGGGCGAGGGTCGGCGGCGGCAGCGGCGGCGGCAGCGGCAGCGGCAGCGGCGGCCTCACCGTCGACAGCTCTGGATGCTGGAGGTAGGAAGGAAGGGGGGAGATCAGATGGTGCTGGTTCTGCAACGTGGAATGGAGAGAGCGGCGTTCGAGATGACGGGGTGAGAGATTGGCGGGGTTGAAAACGGCCGACCATTGCTGCGCGTGAGCCGGCCGTGTTTTTTTTTGCGAAATGTGTTGCTTTCATATGGGCTAGTTTGACCCGCTTCGGTTACGATGCTTGTTTTTTGTGAGTCGATTGTTGGTGCTTGTTTGTGTGCGTTGATTTGTTGATGTATTGCTTCCTACAACCGTCGGCAGTAGTGAAGCATGGTGCGTGGTGGAAAGGGTGGCGTGTTTGACATGTCTCGTCGAAAGAGAAGTCGACCGTGCTGAATAAACGGCGGCAGCCGTAAACCAAGGGCCCAAGCAAGGACGAGGATGTGGCTAGATGAATACCTCCCAATACCCCGGTCTTCCAAATCCTTGCAGTCCAGACGGCTAGGCGGCACGGTAGATACTCTGTTTCCGTTCTTTTTTTTTCCTGTTTTCTGTTGCCCCCCTAGCTAAACACTGTCCATGATCTTCGATATACGCCTCCAACGTTCAGGCGGCTCTCGAGATCTTTTTGACGCGATTGGTGGTGTCGTACGGTAGCGAGAAGGAGGGGGCTTTCACCACGGGGCCCCTTGTGCCCCTCCAGCCTGGGGACCCCGAAGCTGAGGTAAAAAAAAAAACTTCCAAGATTGGCTGTAGCGGCAGTGGGGTGTATGCGGCGTCTTTCGATTGGCTTCGCGGGGTCTGTCGTTTCCGCCGCCTGGCCTCGTTCTTGTTTTTACCTTTTTGAGAAATCCTCTCGGCGCAACCGCGCGTATATGGTGCCGGATGGCGCGCTTCATGGCTTTCTCGAGAATTTCGAAGCGATGAGGTTGGGGATGGATTCCGGGGGTGGTTTTGTCTCGAAGAGCGTGGTCGTTTTTTGGGAAAAGATTATAGAGACCGGAAGACTCCAAGTTTGCCCGGCTCCCGCTCCCGCGTCGTCATGGAGGGTTGGCGGTTCGAAAGTTTGCAGCGGGTGTGATCGATTTTCCTTTATATGGTTTGTTCTCTGCATTTCGTCCCCCCGCGCTTGCAGGTGGAGCTGCCGATGTGGGTGGAGGAAGGCCCGACGTTTCAAGGGCTCCAGCTCCTGCCGGACCAGGCTTTGCCGGTGGACATCGCCTCCGAGGTAAGCGTCGCCGATGAGCAGCATACAAAGTGGAAAACGGTCGGGTGTTGCTACCCTGCAGCAGCAGCCGCTTGGTTTTTTGGGTGACCATTGACCTCGCCAACTCCCATCGGTTTCTTGGGGTTTGAACGAGCGCACGTAGAAAACAGCCGGGTGTTTACCCCCGTCGCCTGCAGCGGTCGCTTGGTGTATTGGTTGACCAATTTACCGCGCCAGCCTACGTTGATGTAGGGGTTGAACGATCGCTCGGTAGTCCTCTCTCGAGACTTGGAGCCAGCCTCAAGGGAGCCGGAAGTACTCTTTTGTTTCCATCTCCGGGGCAGTCCTCGTCGGCCCTGGGACTGTTGGGGCGCAGACTGACGGGCCTTTCAGCGGCCGGCGACATCGCCCTCCCCGAACAACGCACCTCAGCAACGCCTCATTACTCATCTTGGTTTTCTCTCCTCCGTGTGTTCCGCTTCTATACTGTTCGGCGCGCCCCGTGCGAACGGCTTGTCGTGGTGGCACGTTTTGTGCTCAGGTCTTGCACTCCGGAGGTCTCGCCGCGCTTGCGGACCTCCAAGGCAGCTACGCGGAGGTGTTCTCTAGGGGACCCGAGGCGGTCGAGTTTCTCGGGAGAAAGGTCGACGAGTTGTGGCAACTCGAAGACTCGCCGGGCGCTTCTCTTAGCGGGGGGGTGGGGGCGGGCGAGGGAAGGCAGGCGAGGTTCTACACTCGTACGGCCATTGTCTTCTGGCCGAAGGCGAAGCGGTAAGTTCGCTCGCTTGGTAGGTATCCTGGGGCAGGTGGAAATTGCAGAGCCGGG